ATTCTATTTTTCATGGTTATATTTTCAAAGAGTAAAATCAATGGTCCTACTGATTGGAATTAAAGAATAAAACAAATGCAGGCTACTACAAATAAATTGCATGAAAAAAAGCAGCAATGCAAGTTGAAAAAGGTGCACTAACAATAGAAAACCATGGCAGAATTACTGCTACTGTCCAATTCCTAGCAGGTTTACCTCTCCCCATTCTCTTCTTATCCCTCGGAAAACCATCCGCTTCAGTCTCCGCTCAGTCTCCTCCGTCACCACGCACAGCTGCAATACAACTTTTCTGTCGATGAGCAAGATATGCATTAGGAAGAGGATGATAGGGAACCCAAGAGGAGAAACACTAATCCTTTGGTCGCTTTAATAAAGATGTGGTGGGCATCCATAAAAGCTGCATTGGGGCAGAGGATTAACGTGGGGGTGTTATTTCTTCTCTATGAATTTTTGCTAAAGACAAGTATTTGGTGATCCCGCATATTGTTGTGCCTGATATAAGGTACATTTTTGTTGTGCATATTGTTGTCTTTGATAAGGACAACACCATCACTGCTCCATACTCGTTGCACTTGTGGATGCCTCTGGGATCGTCCAAAGAGCAGTGTAAAGCTTTGTTTGACAACAAAATTGCAGTTTTCAGCAACTCTGCAGGTCTATTGGAGTATGATGCCGATTATAGAAACGCAAAGATCCTTGAGCGTGCTATTGGAATTAAAGTAATCACACATAAATAAAGAAGCTTGAGCCTTTGAGTCCCGCTGAAGAACCTTTCATTGTAAAGCAGGTCAGGGTAATTGAAAGGACAATTGTGTATCAGTGGTCGGTGAAAGCAGTGCATCCAACATAGACAGCAAAATGGTAGAAGTTCCATTTAGAGGAAAATCATCTAATTAACAACTGTAACTCTCCCCCATTTTGTCTCTATTGGTAATCTGTATAGGATGGGAAAGGAAAGAAAGCATTTATTCGGTTCAGAACTAAAAGAATTGCAATGAAGTGAATATAAATAAATTGCTCCAAAAAAACACATATATAGCAATTTAAATAGAAAAAAGAAATCCCTTTAAAAAAAAAGAAATCAGATAAAAGAAGCAACAGGATCAAGGAAAATAAACGTTGGTTATTTAGGTATGAACTGGACTTGAATATAAAGGGAATGTATAATTAATTAGAAGAGAATAAAGAACTTACAAAAGGATGCAAAGAAATCCAGAATATGCTCAATGACGTTTGCAGTCGTGCTCCAGGGTCTCTTTGTTAGGTTTGCAGGTCACACCCGTGGTTCCCTGATTGAACCCAAATCCTCCTTTACCTCCGGCATCCACGACAACCTTATTGGTCTTTGGTCTCTTGAAAAATTTATTTGTTTGGACGCAATCGTTCGTCCCGGAGCCCCGAGCTGTCTGTAACCCGATTCTGTTATACATCTTCACCTGAGCTTTTGTGGCCTAAGCCTAGAAACCAATTACGACTCTGATGAAGCAGTTCAACGCAGCTACGAGCTGAGCGCGATACGATTGCAACGCCGCAAATATCCGAGTGGCTGATCCTAACGATAAATATCCAAATGTTAATCGATGACAGTATCCAAATGAAATGCTCGTTTCACAACCGTGGTTGGGGCACATGACTTCGTGAACAGAAAAGAAAAAGAAGAAGGAGGAGGAGGGGGAGGGGGAGGGGGGAGGAGGAGGAGGAGGAGGGGCGAGGGGGGAGGAGGAGGGGCGAGGGGGGAGGAGGAGGGGGGAGGGGGATGTAACACCCTCAATTTTCCCTCCCAAAATAATACTTGAAATAATACATTTATTGATAATAAACTTGATTTATTCTTCCAAAACAGATAAAAAGTTTTGCAGCGGAAATAACATTAAATGGGAAATGGGTGTTACCGCCACATCCGGTCATCTCTTAACCGAATGCACAGGCTATTCCAAAACTAAATGGAGTAAAACAAGTATTCAACATAATTAAATTATAATTCTTGACTAGGTTTGACTAAGGCATCTCTAAACCGCTCTCGTGGTCATACAATCATCAGTCCACATAACCATCATCACCTGCACAAATAAAGTGCAGAAAACAAAACACAGAAAAGGAAACAAAAAATTAGCTTTAGAGCTAAGTAAGTACTACCCAACCCCGTAAAATAATCAGGTTTGACTAAAAATAGTTTTTCATATAATACTATATAAAAATGACACACTCCACCAAAATTCTTTTCTCTCTGATATTTCTCAAAGTCACTTCTTTAATAAAGTCCTCAACTTTTCTTTGAAAATACTATAGTAACTCTTCTCTTAGAATTTCTCAAAATTCACATCTTCTCTATCTTACTAGTAATTTAGAAGGGCGGTGCTCAACACTCTAGTTGAGCCCGGTGGTTGCGTTGTTATGTACGGCCACCCCGGGACTTTTGCCGGTACCACAACTGCTAATGGAAACGAAACGACTACCTTAAGTGTGCACACCCCCTAAAAGGGATTCCAAGCCCTTCGAGTAGTAAGTCGTCACGAGTAATCAGGACTCAGTCTACCAACTACCCCACCTTTAAAATTCTTGAATGATTAGGGACTACTACTACTACTATAACTTCTTCTTAAAAGGGATCATAGACCCAAATGTCACTTCAAACTCAAACTGTACTTCTTAGTAGTAGCAGCCCTAATCACCCTCCACATTTATCCGGATGTGGAAAACCGACACCACGGATTTCTCCCGGGTGCTCACCTCTTATGAAAACGTAAATTTTATCTTGACTTTAGATATACTTCCAAAAAATATTTCTCAATCTCTGTAAATAATCTCAAAGGTATTTAAAAATATTTAATACCCTAAAAAGTACTCTTGATTTGTATTCATCAAAATCACATACACATAATTCAAAATTCACACTTAATCACATAATTAATGCATAATAAGCATATAATACGAGGAAACAATTTTGGATTGGCAGAGAAACTTACCTCAAATTTGATGCTTCTAATTCTCCTCCTCTATTCTGGTCTTTAAGTAATCACCTTTTTAATTAAGATGATATAATCAGTCACTAATTCTATTTTTAATAGTTTATCAGATTTAACCCTTTTTATTAATATGATTAATTAATTACTCTAACTTAGTTTATTCGTTAATTATTAATTAAGATTTTAAATCTGGCCTTATCTTGATATACTATTATTAATCCAATATCCGAGTATATAAGTAATTTACTAGTCATCATCAATTACATCTGATTTCGTAAATAAGATATCCGAATGATTAATTATATTTTAATATTATTAAAATAGCCGAATCATGTATGTCTATATGTTGCATATTATTCAAATTATATTTTCTTATTAATGAATCCGAATTATAAAATCTGTCCATCTTAATATCTTTCAATCTGTCCAATTTATTATAACTAGCCTAGTTGATAAATGATTTAGTCCAACTAGTAATTAATAAAACCAGCCCACTCTTAAAAACATAGACCAAAACGGAAGAAAAGATAAACAGCATACTCTACTTCTTCTTCGTGGAACATGCAACCGTGAGTCGTGGTTGGTATGCTGGTAGCGGCTCCGGCGGTGTTCCAATCCTGGCATCAGTAATCCTGCAGCACTCCTATTATATTCTCCAGCAACTCAGGACATGAGGGTAGGCGGAACAGCGTTGCTCCTTGGGAGTGAAAAGAACGGTCCGGCGAACTCCGGTGAAGGATTTCTCCCTATGCATGCATATACGTACAGAGTATATGGGTGAATGTAAGTATACCCAGGCGTTTCTTCTTGAGGTGCTAGACGTTCGGTACGCAAGTCTTGTATTTATGTGTCCAATTCGAAGGCTCTAGCTGGTAGGTTGCCAGTCTTTGATCATATGGCACATATACATGTGACTGAAGCTTGAAGGTTACAGCTGCGTCCGTACTCGGTACTTCGCTCATCTTTGGCCTCGTCTGAACATAATCGACATATGCATGTGTCTGGGTCGTGGGTACTCCGTTGGTATGCATTGTTTTAGTACATATGTCCATTAATTTATAATATGTACTTCGTATTATTGTTGTGTAGTATTCTCCTCATGTATATCATTGTGTGTATGTTATATGGATCGCAGTGGATTCGTAGACACCTCACATGGGTAGTACGTGTTAGCTATTGTTATATTTTATCAATCATGTTATTTTTCTATTATCATGCATATATATAAATGTGTTCAAAACGTCATTGTTATTTAATTTTGTGTGGTAACTAGTGTATATTCATACACATTATTAATTGATGCTTCCAAATTAAAATTATAAAAAATGTCACTTTTGTATCCGATTAACTTAAATGCTTATTTTGTTTAAATTTTTCGGGGTATCACAGGGGGGGAGGAAGAGGAGGAGGGGGGGGGGGGAGGAGGAGGAGCTGACCTCCGTCACCCTTTACTCAGCCATACTAGCAACACGCTCGTACCAAATATGCATCAAGAACAATCGGCCAATGCACTGAGAGACACGAACATATTTTTTTAAGACAGTTATACTCCTGACAAGATTCATGCTTATATAAGAGAGGGATTTCCCGACAGCGGTGACTGGGATCTGGTTCAGCTTCATTCACCAAGAAAACATCTGATTCTATGATGACACAAAAGCACCTATCATATATGAATAGATGACAAATAATTGGAGGAGGGAAACACTAGAATGGCCACGATATGGGCGAAGTGTCTCCCCAATCTATAGAAGATGCTTTTGGAACCTGCAAGAGCTCATCGTCCTCACTAAAAGTGCAAGGACCTAATTTGAATAGTCCATAAACACCCTCACGCCCAACGCCCTCACGTCCATAAAAAGTTTCCTCCACAAACAAACAAGGATCAAATTTGGTATCTGTCTTAATAGACTTTGTCCACTCATAAGTTTGCGGATTGAATATCAAGATAACCCATTGAAAACCACACAGATCCAAAAGCAGCTGAAATAAGAACTCTGCATGGACTGACACCAAAACTGGAAAGACCGCCAAATATTTCATCACCTCTAACAGGACTAACTTCCAAGTTGGTCCAACCATTTTTCACAGGGTCGTATTCCTCAAGGAGGGAGTGTTCATCAACATCTTTGGTGTAGCGACACCCAAGCACGTATAACTTTCCATTCACTTCAAATGTGGTAGGATCCGCTTTTCCATAATTCATCAGTACACCATCAATCACTCTATAAGTAGAATCTTTTGCATTCACGGATGTGTTGGTTGGATCATACACAAACACGTCTGATGGACGGTTGTCACCTACCGGAACGCCACGTTTCTCACCTCCGAGGAAGTAAAACTTGGAGCCTAATTGAGCACATACCATGCCCGGTCGGTTTAGGAGAGGAAGTCTCACAAGTAAGCGTGGAGATTCAATCACCAAACCTTGTTCATCAGACACACAAATATCAAATGCATGGAGAGAGTAACCTTCACAGTGAAGTGCATTGTTATTGTATGACAAGAAGAGATATACAATGCTGGTGGTATATTCTTGGTGTGAATGCAACCCTGCCATGACAGCGGCAAATCAGTGTGACAGCTAAAAAGTAAGAAAAGATCCCAAGGAACCAAAGCCGATTCTATATCCAGTCACGAGCATTGATCTCGTTGGTCGGATGCAAAGAATGGAAGAAGCTTCGAGAACAACAGGGCTGCCAGAGAGTGGCAACCTGGCGAGTAGAATTACATATTAGTAAACTTTAAAAAAATGATATTTTACAAATTTACATTAATATAAATTTAATGAGATTCTACACATAATAATTTGATTTTTTTATACGTAGGCTTTGGTTCCTTGGGATCTTTTCTTACTTTTTAGCTGTCACACTGATTTGCCGCTGTCATGGCAGGGTTGCATTCACACCAAGAATATACCACCAACATTGTATATCTCTTCTTGTCATACAATAACAATGCACTTCACTGTGAAGGTTACTCTCTCCATGCATTTGATATTTGTGTGTCTGGGAGTCTGGGGGCCTTGGAGTAAACATGCCTGAAACTCACTCCATTGTTTCACACCCTTATGTGCTTAGCGGGATTCGAACTTGAGACCTCCCACTAGACACGATAATCACGACATGTGAATAATACACGATCAAAGTTGTGTGTTGAAAAACGCACGATCAAATTATTGCAATTATTAAAGAACGGAGAATAATATTACACACATACTATCTGTCCCAAAAGAGTTAATAATCATCGCCGACCTGGCTTCTAGGGCATATATCGTCGCTGGAGCAGGACACCGCCGGGAAGAACTTGTACCATGGAATGAAGGAAGAAGGGGGTGTTTGCCATTGCTTCAACTTTAAAAAAGTGATTTTTTTAAGTGATTTTGGGAAAAGTGATTAATAGTAAAAGTTGGTAGTGTTTGAGAAAAAAGTGATTCTGGAAAAGTAAAAGTTGGTAGTGTTTGGTAAAATAATTACTGTTTGTGTAATAGAAAAAGTGAGAAATAATTTAAAACACCCTTCTATTTGCTTCTAGCTTTTAGCTTTTAAGTGATTAATTTAAGCAGAAGCTGTCATTTGAAAACACTCTTTTCAACTTTTTTAAGCAAACCCAAACATTCCTGAAGCCTCGTCGCGGATGCGTTTTCCTTGCGTGAGCCGGACGAGTTGTTGAAGACGAATGGTCAAGTGTACTGTTAAGCTAGATTTTATAGCTGGGCCGCCTGCTTATTTAAAGTGCACTAGTGTTTTTATTTAGGTTGGGCTGTCCTAACTAATGAAACAATAAGGGATCATGGACTAGACTGTTTAGTATAGGTTGGTCCAGAGAATAATGATACTTGAGCAGTTGAGCTGAGCTGATAAAATAATAATGATAAAAGAAGTAATAAAAGGATTTTTTTATAAGAATATTACTAAAATAAACCTTATTTACATAAATATGATTATTCATTACTATAACGTAGTATTGTGGTAACTTAAGTTCAAAATTTGAACATGAATTACTATGATTTCATTACTACTCTAGTAACTAGTCATGTTTTTGTAAATCATCTTTATTTTGGTCATATTTATGTAATTATTTCATAATAAAAAACAATAACAATAGTAATAATAATCATAACAGTAATAATAGTAATAATGATAATACTCCTTCCGTATTTAAAAGTTCCTCACACTTTCCTTTTTATGATGTATTTAAGAGTTCCCTACACTTCCATTCTTGGTAAGTTTATCATTTATAAAATACTCAACTACCCTTACTTTATCTACTTTTTATCTTCTCTTTCATACTTTTACTCATTCTCTCTAACTTTTTCTATACTATTCACCACTCCTATTATTCTATCCTAAAATATTGCGACAAAAGCAAATGTAGTGAACATTAAAATACGGGGGAGTAATAATAATAATGGTCATAAAATAATAGTATTCTACATATTTTAATAATATTGGGTGATGTGTTGGATTAATTAGTACTTTGGAAAAAATCATTTTCCGGCAAGAGCTTCTTCGCGCGCCTCAACTTGTGCTTAGCGCACCTCTTTTTTGGTTTTGATCGGACAATTTTGTCCAATTTCATTTCTTTTGTTCCGTCAACTTTTTTTCCCGTATGGAGTAGCACACACTTGCCAACGCATGTCTTTGATCGTAATTATATCTTAATCTCTATTAGTAAAAAAAATTAAAAATCAGATTTTGAAAATTTGTAATGAAATGAATTGAATAATATTTTAAAAAAAAATAATTCTCATAAAATAATAGCGTAAAGTGTAATCAAAATAGAACATGTGAATAATGTAAAATTTGTTGCGATTAAAAAAAATGGAGGATAGTATATGATATACCCACTTTGTATGTGCTTTCATTAATTTTTTTTGCAATGGCACCTGATTCACTTTACACCACTTTGTACATAATGCTCTAAATCATATTTTTCTTTTTTCTTTTCTTAATTCTTATGAGCCATTCTAGCCAACACAAATACACAATAACACGTATTGTTAAGATTTTTTGGGGGGATTGTACTTTCGTTTTACTGTTACATTAATATAGATTTGTATTTTTCCATGTTTTTCAATATTAAAAATACTATCGTAAATAAAACTAGCCCATAACTAATTTTTTTCCCATGTTTAAACTTGTGGGTATATATTTCTACTTTGACTTATTTCAATATGAGACCAATGAGACAACACAATATTCGATTAAAATAATAGTAAATCACACATGTGTCAAATAGAGCCCGTTTGGTAACGCTCATTTTTTACTAATAAGTCTTATCAGTCAACTTTTATCAAACACATTGTTTTTTACGCGCTGAAACGTGTAATAATAAAAATAAATAAGGTTGGAGTAACTTTTGTGCCTAAATTGACTGGAGTTATTGTGGATAATCATCTTAGCTATTTTTCATATAATTTTTTCTTTAATTTATTAGCTATTTAATTATAATTTAGCATGTTTAGCCGCTTCAGCCATAATTTCATCAGATTCAGGCAATTCACTCAATTTCAGTGTTACCAAATGGTGTTCTACGTTGGACCAGATCAAACCACACCAGACTAAAAGTGACCTGAATGCTTTGAGTGTTTCACATTATTTAGAGCCTGTTTGGTAACCCCATCTTCAGCTTATCAGCATTATCAACCAACATTTTATCAAACATGTAACTTTTAAATTCAAAATAAGTAAGACCGAAGTTACTTTTCTGACTGAATTGGTTGAAGTTACTATAAAGTACCATTTCAACTATTTTTCATATAATTATTTCTTTATTTTAAACTAAATATAATTTTTCATATTCAGCATATTCAACCAACTTCAGTGTTAATTTTTGCTAACTTTTCTGTTTTGGTTGTCCCAAAAGCTTTGTCGCTTTCCCCTTTAATCAATTTGTGGCTCCTGTTATTTCTCTCCTCTGCACAAATCTCTATCACACAATTTTTACTTTATTATTTTACTTGCCGGTCAAATTTGGCAAACCTTTAAGGGACGGAGGGAGTAATATTTTTTGTCCTCTTAATCTATAGAAAAATTTCGAAAAATCTTTTGAATACTTCTATAATATATTTATGACTAGGGAAAATCACACTTTTACTCCCTGAAATAGTCACGAAAATGAAATGTCAGATCCGTATTTTTGATATTGTAAATATCACCCCCCAATTGTCCAAATTGTTGTAAATGTGGTCCTTTAAGAGGTGAAATGTACTCTCGCCTACATTGTATATTTCACCCCAAAAAAGACCACATTTACAACATTTATGACAATTGAGGGATAACATTTACAAACTTAGGAATACAGGTCCGACATTTCATTTTCGTGACTATTTCAGGGATCAAAAGTGCGATTTTCCCTTATGACTAATAAAAAGCAATTACACAAAATACAATTTAATTTTCAAAATAAATTAATAATTTTTAGAAGTTTCATTGATTTTTAAGCTCGATGAAATCGAGATAATATCCCATACATTAATTTATTTGAAAAAAATTTTAAAAGACGGAATTTTAGAAATATTTAGGCCATAAAAGATGTGTGTAGCTTGAGTACGTGTCATTGTCATACACAATTAAAAACAAAATATTCTTTTTAGGCAGAAATGTTTTTTTTTTTTTTGAAATTTTAGGCAGAAATGTTATAGATCAAGCAGCAATGTTAAATGTTTAATACGGAGTGAAAAACAAGATAAAGGGCCACAAAAGTTAGATCAAGCAAATTAGGGGGTGCGCTGTGATGAAAAGATCGTTCAAAAGCCATCAAAAGCTCAGAGGCAAACTCCTGGGCCGGCTGAATTTTAGTTTTAATTTTATTTCATGTATGATTCTATATTACATTCATGCTCTGTTCATATGCCTTTTTAGATTCGTGTTCAAGAGAGTACAGTGTCTTTTTCCTTTCTTTTTTCGATTTCAAGATGAAAAGCTATGGAAATGAAGAACAAGATGCTTGCTCTCCCTTTAGGTTTCAACGATTTACCTGCATTTGTTCTCTTCAAGGTCAATTACTTCCTCTTTTCTCCTTCATTCGAATTTCAATTTTTATAATTGCTTATGGAGCTGGATACTGAGTGTGTTCTATTTCCCATGATCTGTTTCATCAAGGTTAACTGATTTAATATTATTGTATTTGGTTCATATGGTTTTAATTTCCCATTTCCAATTTTATCATGTTAGCCAACCCCAAATTCTCTTGGAAACAAAGCTTAGATATTGTTTTCGTAGATTTAATTTTATAAATCTGTTTTTTTGTCTAGATAGATTAAATAAACATGGTTATTGAAATCCTATGATGACATGAATCTTTGAGACCTGATAGTCGATTAAGAAAACATACATTTCTTAGGATTCTCCCTAAGTTTACTTTTTTTTTGTTAGAAATTAA